GCAATACACTTAGCTTCCACAGTCGCGCTATAACAAACTCTATAATTCACAATGAACGTCTCACGTGCTCGACTCAACAGTGCTCTCTCTCTGTCCGCAGTTCAATTACACATTACATTGTTACCGTCGCTTCTTGGCCGGTCTTATATATACAAGACTACCGCATATCTAGTAAACGCTCGAGCATTCAGGATCCTTCTAGAAGTTCATGACGTGTTACTAGGTCACGTAACTTCCGCTGTCGTAACAATGTGTTCTGTGCTTTGCCCACCACAAGTACAGAAACCCAGTTTTATACGCTACAACCCCACAGACTTACTACTAAGCTACTGGAGGGCCGTAATTATAGAAGTAAAGGATGGTTAAAATTATATTTGTTATAAGACATAAGTGTTAGGCTTATTACATTTTTAAGAGTTCTGGATAGAGCGAAACTCTTCATCGACACTGAATATGACAAATATAGTGTTGTTAGAATTGTATTATTATACACTCTTCTAATTCTTGAAAATCCCTAAGAGCCTAGATAAAGAACGTAGTGTTTAAAATGTAATAAGCACAATACTATAATGTCTTATGATAAGTATAATTATATAATTTATGGTTTGTTACGATTAACTACTATTATCGTCATATAAATCGTATCGGCATAGAGGCATTTTTTGGATTGCTGTTTTCGTAAACTACACTTGTATGATAATTTTAAGACATTTCAAATACAAAATTCAGTAAAAACCGAAATAAAGCTCTTATTTTATTAAACGGGTCTAAGTTTGGCACTGTCAGTTAAGTTTGTGAATTTTTATAGAGCTCTCCCGAAGAAACTAAAGCGAAACGGTAACGTTTAGTAAATCTAGCACACTTACTGAAGTTTTGTGGCTGTTTTTAATTTTATACTCTTTAAACTTTTAAAATTTGCCAGAATCGTTTCAAAACTGAAAATTCAGTCGGGAGAACAATATAATTCTAATATTCGATGACGAGGAACCCACTTTGAGACTAATAATGGGTAATAATCAGTACCTGATGATGACAAAACCTTGTCGAAACGTTGTACATTTGCTGTTATGTTAAACTTATATTAAAGTTTTTCTTCATTACCCATTCAAGCCGTCTCCAGCCATTATTATAATTCTAATATATACTTTCTTTCGTAAAATATGCTACAAAACTTGAAAATTTAATAAAGTAGCATTAATAATAAAATATACAAATATAGTGATTGTACAGCTTGTAATTTTTAGAATAATAAAACCACATTGTTTTTGTTTTATGTCGGCGGCTACGCCCTTCAGATGACGTTAGAAGATTATTCTATTTCTCTACCCGGTGGACTCTTTACTCTCGTGTCGAGTTCCGACGCTGATTGTCTAAATACACACAGCGCAAATTTAGCTGTTATACCTGGTGCGTAGCTACAGCGTTTTGAGTAGCTAGTATTCGGGGATCTCTATCGAACACACTTGCAATGCTTTAAAGCCTACACATAGCCCTAAACGCTTGAACGATAACATTAGACCTATATTGACACTAACGAGTTAGTTTTACTTTCATTTAGTGTTTTCGTTTCACGCCGTAAACAGTTGGGACTACGAATTTCTGTAAGTATGTTTATAGAAATGATATTCATTCGAAGTAAGCGTAATAACTAAGAAAGCAGTTTTATCTTTATTTTTCCACCACAATGTAAAATAACTAATAACCTAAATAGTTATACAATAGGCCTAAGAGTAAAACTCGAATTCAAAACTCGGTGGGAGTGGAACTAGTACTAGTACATTTCTAATACTAATACCAGTATTATTAGTAAACGAATAATATAGTAATGCTGTGAGAGTAATATTACTAAATTAAAGTAAAGCCAACTAATTAATCAATTAGTTTCCCACTGCATATAAAAAAGGTAAATTATTGTAAGCCTCGATTTTGAAGTTTGTCGTTAAATGACTAATCATGTTGTATCGTCTTTCTGAGCACCTGAAATATTACTTTTACGTTTAGAAGATAATCCTAGATAAATTCATGTAAAAGAGAATTTACATTTAAAGTGAAAGTAGACATACTATTAATTTACTCTTCAGACTTTAGTCTCTAGGTTTAGCCTTTATAAACTGCATTGTTGCTAATTTTATAGTTTCAGAGAATGCTGTTTGTTAGACGTGCAAAATGTTACTTCTGTCTAGAAAGTATTTAGTCATTTACATGAATTCATTCTATATTGTACAATTAAAAAAAAATCCATCTCTGTTTAAGCATTTGCAGTGGTACAATGGCTAACACGGCAGTTAAGTAAGCTGGCTTAAATTGGGGAGCTAAAAGCAATATATTATTTTAAGTAGTCTCAGGTTATTTCATGGCTTTTATCATTCTGATATTTTGGCAATAAAATATTTTCAGTAAATTAGTAGTTTTGGCAACATACAATATGTATTTATGTGTACAGGCAGTAAGACTAGGGGACAAAAGTTTAAGATAAGGAACTGGGCATATTCCAGTTAAGAAATTGCTACATTTCTTTATATGGAGAGGATAGTTTGTATTAATTTGTGTAAAAGCTGCAACACTGAAGCAGTTAAGAGGAGATTGTATGATTATTATTCAGATAAGAAATAGACGTAAAATATGGGTTTCTATATTTTGCTTATAATTACAGTTGAGTGGAAAATAGGGAAATATAAATGGATCAAATGGGCCACTCAATGTTATCCTTCAGAAATAAAAGTTATAATTTGTGAGACAATAAAGGTATGAAAGTTATTATAATTAGGAAAAATCAAATAGGGTATATAAAAAAAATAATTAAAATTAACAGTAAGGATTTCTTTAAATACATTAAAAATAAACAAAATGTTAGGATGGGAGTCAGTAGGGCCTTCAAGGGATGATAAAAGAAGGCTCATATCTGATTGTGAAATGGCTGGGTTAATAAATTCTACTTTTCCTTCAGTTTTTACTGATGAAGATTTTTAACAGTATTCATTTAGATAGAAAAGTGGCTGGTTGTAATAAAGTAGAGGTTTGTTGTAAATGGAGTTTAGTCAAACTAGATTAATGTCACAATTGAGGTACCTCAAGAGATAAATATTTGTACCTTATCTTCAATTAATGACACAGATGAAAGAATGACCAGTAAATTACTTGAATTTGCTTATGATATTAAGGTCTTGGTTGTTTGTTAGTTGGAAAATGTTGCTGCTGTTTTAGAAAAGGATTTAGATAAGGCTAACAAATGACAGATTGCATATGATTATACTACATATAAGATAATGGATGTGGGGTATCATAATTTGAACTATAAATGTAATTTTGATGGGAATAACCGTAACAATGAGAAAGAAAGAGGAAAGGATCTTGGTGTTCTGGTTGATCAGTCTCATAAGCCATCAAAGAGTGTGTTGTTGTTTGTGCCAGATAAACAGGATTTTAGGTTCCATCTTCAGAAATATTGAATACAAGTATCTAGAGATTATAATTTCACTGTTAAAGCCAATTTGGAGTATTGTGTTCAGTCTTGAGCTTCTTATCTTAGGAAGGATATTCAATTGTTGGAAAGGATTCAGAGGAGGGCTACTGTGACGATACCTGCGATAGAAAGGTTGTCATATAGGGGATATCTTAGGATCTTTGAAATTGTTTTCTCTTGAAAAAGAAGAGTTAGTGGGTATTTGATTGAGGTGCCTAAGATTGTTAAGAGAAGTAATTATGTTGTTTATGTTGATGTATTATCATTTTTTGTACTCGTTGGTGAGAATGGTACAATTAGGGGGGACAATTTGGGGCAGGGTAGAAGTCATCTTCAGCTAAGACAGTTTTCTTTGAAAGAGTGTGATTAGTCTTTGTAATGGGATGCCTTCAGATGTTGTAGATGTATTTAATGTAATGGAAGGCTTGATAAATATCAGACTGATAAGAGCTGGCATTTAGTTTTTATATAGTTTAGCTTAGTGGATGGGATAACCTAGATGGACCAATAGGACCCTTGTTACCCTTAAATAATGTGTTATATATAAAACTAAAAGAAGATCTTTAAAATAATAGGAAATTTTTAATATTTATTATATCAAATTGAGATTCTTGTTTGACCATAATAATTACACTTCGCCAGTGAATGTATTTCTCATAAAGTTCACCATGGGATCTTGTAATTAAAAACTAATAAATACATCCAATATTATTTAGTCACTGTTAGAAATATTTCTAATGCTTTCAGTGACATTTTGTGTAGACAGATGTAATAATAGTAAATTTAGAAATATATGGGGTCAGTCCATCTGGTTAAACACAGTTTTTGTTTTGCTTAAGAAGAAGCCTACAATAGATTTTGGGTGAATCCATCAAAGATGAAGTTTAAATTGATAAGCAATCGGGTGAATTGTATGAATTTGGCAGTCGTTTCAATTTTACCATCATGTGCCATGGTTGAGGGCTCAACTAAGCAAGAAGGTCAGTATCAAAGTATTTTTGAAGCCAATGTCAAATGAAAGTGGTGTTTAATGTCATGCATAGTATAGAAACCTTTCCAATGAATGAGTGGTTTGTGTAGTATAGCTCAAGACAGAGGGAAGGGTAGCCCATGCCCCCATTTATAGCATTGCTTCTTTAAGCTCTTCATTACCAGGTATGTATTTTTCTAATTACTACTACTTTTTAAGTTCCTTCAGTATGTCATTTGACCACTTAGATCACATGAAAAGTGTATCTAAGTGCTTAATAACTTTAGGTTTGGAAGACATACTATAATTATGATAAAACTAATATACTTATATTTAATATATATTTTAAATTATTGAAATGAAAAAAAAAGGAAATATTAGACTTTGTTTTATAATTTAAGAAATATTTAGTTTCTGATTGTAGTGACAGCTTGGGAGCTAGTATTTTATCACAGCAGTCACATTCAGAAACATCTTGTTGGGTATACTGGAACAGTTGTTATATGAAGGAAATGTTCATTTAGTTGTAAGTGTAGGTGGTAGTGGGTGTATGAATATAAAAATGGTAATGCTTGTGAATTGTAATAGCTCAACATGTGTCTTGTGTGTCAGGGTTTCTCTTTGAAGAAATATAAGTATAATTGCAAGATTGAGAAAAATTACTCTGGGGTAAGGGTTGCATTGACACGTGGGCTTTCTGTGTTGATTTGTTTTTGATACCCTACTAAGAAAACATTAAATAGCCTTGCAGACATAGAACGCTATACATGTGAGTGAAATATTTTAGTATGAAATCTTAAACTTAAGGAAACATTAGTTGTATAATTTATAAAACAAAACCATCAAAATATTTTTTATTGTGATAGAAAATGTTTACTACTATAGGTACTACGTGACAATAAATTGGTTAACATGGATTTGTTATACTCCATATAACAAAAACCTTATTTAAAAATGAAGTAGGTGAAACCAGTTATAGATGTATATTAAGATCAGAAGCAATCAGATTGAAAAAGTTTAACTTGTCTAGAAAAAGTTTTAGATAATACTTTAGAGAAAAATCATATCTAGTAACACATCCTAAAATTTAATAGCAGCAAATGAAATTTTATGGATTAATCTTAATTGTATTAATCAGGACATTCATAGTCAAAAGAAAAAAAACTTGTTGAAACTAGGTTTAACAAATAATATAGAAATACTGTTGAAATATAATACTTACCATACTAAAACTAGTTTGTGAATCTTAAAGAACTGAAATTGATGATAAGAACAGAGCAACTACTGTAAACATTATTCTGAGTTAATTTATTATCTATGATACTAAAAAATATGATTTTTGAATGTGAAAGACTTGTAATGTTTACTTAAAGTCTGCCAAATTTTGTGAAAATATACATACTATATTAAAAGTTAGTGGTATCAAAAGTATAGACTTTAAACGAGTATAAAGAGGCCGTGTCCTTGATCAGATTGACTGAGCCTGTGTTGAGAGAGTTAATGACAAGTGAAATAAACTAAACACAGCCCCATTTGATTAAGATTTGGGGCACCCTTCAATCAGGGGTCTAGGTGCCTAGCACCCACTGTACCCCTTTAAGGGCCAGCTCTGGTACTAGTAATGAAAAAGGAAAAATGTTAATTTCAAATTTAAGGACAACAGAGGATCTTTGGGTTCATCTAGACCATCCTATCTACTGAATCAAACATTAAAAACAAACTCAGAGCCAGTCCTTAATATTGAAATATCTATCAAGACTTCTCTAAACTCCCTTACATGTATTACATCCATTACCTGTGAAAGCAACCCATTCAAAAGGACAACTACCCTTTTAGAAAAATATAACTTCATTGAAGATGACTCTTAACCTGCCAAATTTTATACTTGTATCTCCTGGTCTTACCATTCTCACTGTTGAAAAAAAAAGTTGATGATACAATGACACCATCAATTTCCTTGACAATCTTAATTTTGTGCATACCTGTTTTTTCAGTGTAACTGACTTTTTACAGAGTTACATTGAAAATAAGTAAACTACTTTATTATCAATGTATGTTATTAAACTTGGAATCAAAACGAAGTTTGTGATTTGAATGTTGATATTATCTAAGTTTTGATTTCTTAGTTTCAAAAGGAAATATATAAAATATTCTTAATCTTTATTCTTCTGTGACATCTCTGCCATGTGGTCTCTCCAATTTATATTTTATAACTTTAACAATACAACTTCTGTAGTGCCCAACCAATTAGAAACATAATCTACATAATGACAAGGAAGAATATAAAATATGAATCTACCTTCTTCATTTGCTGATATACCAATTAATTTGTCAAACCCATCAGAGAAACACCTATATTTACACCTACTTGTCCAATAGCCAAAAGAAAAAGCATAATTTAATGTACAGGAATCTTTTGGCAGACAAAGGCAGTAGTTTGTTAGAAGAACTTGACGTGTGTTAAGTACAGTCATTGGTCTGGGCAGTAACGGAGTTATTTTAACATATTTATAGAAAGCAGGAGAGATTATAGTAGTTTTGGGACATTCTATTCTAATACTTAATGTATTTTTGGTGTTATAAAATGCATATTTGAAAGTTACATGAATTATTTTTTGGACAAATAATTTAGGAAGAAAAAAGTACTGTTATTGAAACATGACGTCTTAAGTACAAATGGCCTCACACCTAGAGAAAGTGCTAAATTTCTTACTTTCGTGTGTCTTTCCTTATTATATATTTTTACAAATAAAATTTTAGAAAAAAATGACCTTTACAGTCCAGATAAATATAAAAGAATATATTTTTATTTCAACTAATGTTTCACCTTTGTGGCTCATCAGGGTTAATATACACAACTGTTTGATATTAAAATTATTCGTTAAATGAAAATATATTTTTTTATTTATCTGGAGTGTAAAAGTCTTTTTTTTTAAAACTTTTAACAAAAGTAACTAAAATTTAAAAATTAGAGAATTTTTATGTTAGACAACAAAAATGTAAAAACTTTCACAGGATCAGTTGGTAAGGAAGGAACTCATGATATGTGTTTGTCACATAATGTAGCCTGATCATTTATGTACCCTTAAAATGCTAAATACTGGGTATCAATACCAGTTATGGGCATAGCATATATAGCCCATTGTGTAGTTTTTTTGCTCAACGATGAATATTTATTTACCCTAAGCTTTTCTGTTTGATTTGCTGCTTTTCACACCAAAATACTGTAATAAAATGATAAAATTAAAAGAAAGCAGATTTGAAAATATTAGAAGCTGAGAATGTCAGGATAAATAATTCAGATTCTGTGTTAACATTTGCAATCAGTATAGAAAAAAAGGTATTGATAAAATTAAAATAAAACAAGACTGAAATTGAAGATCTGGCAACAAATGATGCATTTAATAAAGAACAAATTAAAAGTTTTATTGATTTCATTTAACATTTTTCAACTTTTCATTTCACTGTATATTGATGATTTTCCTACAGTTATTTTTGGGTAGAGAAAAATAAGATGTAAGGTAAAAAATTTACTTTAAATCTTATTTTTCATTTTGAAGGTTTAAGAGGTTGTGTAAATGAAATATGAAACAGTAAGATGAAAGTATTTTTTTTTTTATTCTTATCATGAAAATTACCTTTCACCCAAACTGACTAATTAATGGATTCATAACTTCACTGACTAATCATTGATAAAAATACTTTATTAAAAAAAAAATCTTATTTTTTTGTATGCAGTACACTTTTAATATCTCATAAAAGCCAAATTTCATGTTGGTACACTTAGTACATTCAGAGTTATAGTATGTATAGTTTTATAGTTATATGATGATCACAGAGTTGGTGAAACTGACTGAGCTGGTATTTGTAAAGTTAAACACCTCAGTCAGATTCCTTCTAACTTTTCTTTTTCAAGGGAAGTCAATTTCAAAGATCTTAATCTGTTCTCATATTACAGTCTTTTCCATCTCGGGTATCATTCTTGTCGCCCTCCTCTGAACCCATTCCAAAATTTCAATGTCCTTCCTAAGATAATGAGCCCAAGACTGAACACACACTAAACTTAGCCTAACAAGTGTCCTGTAAAATAAAATTATAACCTCTTTAGACTTGTATTCAATATTTCTATAGATACAACCTAAAATACTATATGCTTTACCACTATCAACAGCATACTGCTTTGATGGCTTAAAAGACTAATAAACCGATAAACCTAGATCCATTTCTTCCTTAACAGAATGTTATTCCTTTCAAAATTATACTTATTATTCAAATTATGATACCCCACATGTATTACTTTCCATTTATTATAATTAAAAGCCAATTGCCATTTATTTACTAGACTCATCACAACCAGCAGCAGATCTTAATATCATCAACAAGTTTAAGTTTATTTGACATCCATTCATCTATGTCCTTGATTTAAGTTAAAAAGTACAAAGGCCTTAACACTGAGCCCTGAGTTACTCCATTGTGACATTATCCAGTTTCACTAAACTCCATTTATAATAACACTTTCTTTCATTCAACTATTTTTCTCTCCAGTGAACCAACTTTTTCATCACTGTGATTGAGATAATTTTTTAACAAGCCTTTTGTGAGGTACCTTTTCAAATGTTTTCTGAAAATCCAGATAACTAAATCCACACCCTTACCTTCCTTCTTCAAAGAATGTCAGAAGATTATTAAGTCAAGATTTTCCCTTACTAAAACCATGTTGACTAATGAACAACATTTTATACTTAATTAAATGGCTTTGCAAGGTATCTTTTATCAGACTTTCAAAAATATTTCCCACCAATGATGCAAGAATGATAGGCCTATAATTACTGGGACAATGTTTATCATTTATCTTGAAAAGAAGATTAACATTAGCTAATTTCCAATTCTCTGGCACCTGCCCATTATTCAAGGACATACAAAAAATAGCAGCAACAAGTCTAATAACAAAAAGAATGTAATGAACAAAATCTTACATGTTTGATGTATATATCAAAAACACCAGACTTAAAATAACGATAAAAAGGTCTTATTATTAAAAGTAATCATACATAAACCTTATATTTGAATTTTAAAATTGAAATCTTTTACTTTAAAAAAGAGAGAAATCTAAAAAAATAGGACTATCATTTAAGACCTAATATTAATAATATGATTGCTCCTGCTGCTAGTGGATTTGGGGGAGGGATTGTAAAATGCACTTCATTCATCTCTATCTGAAGCAAATTCTTGTGAATGTGATATCTCAAGTTTTTTCAAATTAGGACCAAAGATATGTATCGTGTATGTTTGGAACTAATTAGGTTTTGGTCATGCTCCACCAATTTTATAAACAAAAGATGGGAACATGTAAGTGTTATATATTGTTATTACTGTAATGAAAAAAAAGGCCAAGAACTAATATAATTATCTAAAAAAAAAGTTTGCAATATAGACAGTACTTAGAAATATTAGCTAACAAACATGGTTTATACACTAGAAAAATTTGTATTTGAACAACATACATATATATCATGTAGTTATAAGAACAACAGAACATTTAATAACACATGCCACTGACACCAAGCTGGATACATGTAGAAACTATTCTGTGTTACAGTGCTTATATATCAGCCAGTGATCCAAATTATAACAGTTTTTGTCAGAAAACTACAACTACAGGCAAACTTGAGAATATTGAAATACACACAGAGGAACTATATGAGCTTATAAATCACTGGTGAAGGAAGATTGCTTCATGAAAGGTGTTAAATTTTTAAAACTTATTTAGTGCAAATATAAACGGTATTTATGTACACAAGTACTATATATGTGTGTCACTAGTCCTTAACAGTTTTTCTACAATTATCGTATAACAAGATAAGTTATTAAAAGCACAAAAGTATCATTTTTTTTGAACACTTTAATGACATTAACTGGGAATGTAATTCTGTGGTATCGAAAACCACTTTGAAAATTAGTAATTGTTTCACATTTCCAAATTGTTGATACATTTTAACCATGCTGCAACATCAAAATGAATAGGAATCAAAACTTTTAGTATGAATAATTGAATGTTATCATTAAATGATACAATTAAATACTGATAGTAAAATGTAGGAGATTTTGTTAAACATCTTAAAAAAAATGTTAGTCTCTGAAAGGTACATACTTTTTTTTAAAACTGTTAATATTATTCTAGTGCTGAAAAGGAACATTTCCATAAAGAGCTTGTGTATACAGTTTTAGAAGTTTTACTGCATGGTGCGAGTCATCCAATTTCAGTGATACACTTGAACCAAGGTGTATGTATATATACAATCTGGGTATGTACAGGGCCATCTATTGTTATAACTTTATCATCAATGGAAAATGTATATACATTAAAATAAACCTATAAATATTTTTTGCTTTGTATATAGAATAAACAATTAACTTGACATCACTGGATTGGACTTTTGTCTGGCCCTTTAGCTTGGGGCCCCCACAGACACCAGTGTTAGATTAATTAAATTAACTGGAAAAAGTACATGTACTGTAGGGTGTGCTTGTCTCATTGAGAATTCATCACATACAAGTGTACAAGAAAATTATACAAAATAATTGTAACGATTAAATAGTAAATTTTTCTTTTTTTTTGTGGCTTCATTGTTTTGCATTCCATTCCTTGATAATTTACGTTGTACATGTACGAGTCACAATGAACGATATGTACTTTGAATATTAGGGGGGGAAGGCTGTAGCTGGATGTGAATGTGATAATTATATATGTTTGACACTGGTGTAGTAGTAGTATTTGAGAATCACTGTTACAGTAGACAAGACAGAAGACGTTATAAGAAATTAGTGGTGGTTAAGTCATAATCCTTTGTAATTTATAATTGTCATTTAATTATACCACCACCTAACATAATAGATATTTATAGTTACTAAATGTGTGTAAAAACACTCGTGTTTTGGCTTGGGAACTGTACCAGCAACAAAGGGTAGCTACAATGTATGTACAGTGTGTTTTCAAAACAAAAGTTAGGTACTCTTAAGCTAACAAGTATGAACTTTATAACATAAAGTTACTTCATAACTTTATTTATGAAATTCTGTGTTTTCGATGAGAATTAGTCAAGATTTTTAAAAACTTCAGATATCATTTTTGGATATTTTTACCAGCATTCAAAATTTCATATGATAAGATTGGAATACTGGTGGATAAGTCACTCAAAAATTGAAGTATCTATGCTGCTAGTAATAATGTTAAGATTATTTTAGGGTTTATTTATCAACATATTGGGTACAATTCAAAGGAGATAATTCTTTCTAAACAAATTACTATTTAGGCCTCACTTGGAATACTGCATACAGTTTTTGTCTCCTTATTTAAGATAAATGTTTTTTAAAAGAGTTGACAAGAGGGTTACTAGGAAAATTCCAATGACATTATTCAAGTTTATAAGATTATCTGAGGGATTGATAGAATAAAAACATGATTTCTTTTTACTGTATTCTGAAGGCAATAGGATGAGAGAATACATTTAATATTTTGAAAACACAGGTTAGGGCTATGATTAAGACAATTTTATTTCTTTAACAGGGTAGTTGACTTATGAAATAAGGGTGCTGTCAGTAGTAGTGAAAGCCAGCACTTGACAGAAGTTTTAAGAGGGGAATTAATAATTTCCTGATAAGTAAATGGTTAGGTATAAATTTTTAGTTTTATTGAGGGTGGGTGTGCAGAAACAGCTTTGAAGGGCCAAACGTTCTTTGTTGTGTACATGGTATGTTATATGCAAAACTCTGAAATTTTTAGCCCAACTGTAAACTCATCGTTACTCAGACTTGCTTCATTTTTGTCAGGTAATTACAAAAAATAATTTCAATTAAGAGGTCCTATTAGCAAGGTTTAGTAGCATTCAGCTTTTCTTCTGAAATTTAAATACACCTACAATCATTTCAATTTAGAATTCTAACCTAGGCTTAAATTAACAGCTTACATTTTGACATTTTTATCAAACTGTTGGTACAATACAAATTAGAAAGTACTTGGTATAGTGCTGTTAGCCAAGTCTACAAATCTGGACATATTGCTTTTATATTTTAACCCTGTGGCTTGCTGCAGTTTGGTTTCAGTATCTTTTCTCAAATGGAATTTCAGAAAGAGGATCTTTTGTGTGTCATATCATTGGTGTCTAGAGAACATTAATGAAGTTGAGTGAAAACATTTTTCATGTTATTGTAATTTGTGTTTTTTAGAATTAATGTTTGATGTTAATTTTGACCATGTTTTTTTTTATTTAACGTTCTATCTATTCATTGCACTGTAATTTAGAATGGTAAATTACACAGTTTTGAAATAGGTACATTTTGGAAAGGATAGCACAAATTTTGTATACATAAGTAAATAAAGCCATAAAAGGTATGTTAGGTTATTCTACACAAACAAGAACTAACATAGGTTTTCTCAACATTTCAAACTTAATGTACCAAATTATTAGTGTTATTGCGGTATCTCTAGTAAGGTTTAAATGTAGTGGACCATCTGTGTCCTAAACAGAAAGTAGGACAGTAAATGGCATATGATTTAAAGCCTGGTTTTACGGTTTCTCTATTCAAGTGTGTTTACATTATCATCTTGCATGTATTAAAAGTTTTAAGGTTATCTGCTACTTGAAAGACTTCAAAAGGTATATATAAACACATTAACCATCCTTGTGCAACATCTAGGTATACTCTAACTTGTTACAGATCACTGAAAACTTTGTGTTATAAAACGGCAGCTTACAACAGTGTACATGTTTGAGGCATAGTGTTTCATACATGTACTATAAGTTATTCAGTGTTTAAGGATATGCCTTAGAATGAAATCACTAGTTTTCTTTTCATACCATTTGGTTATTCACATGTACACTGTAGTGTGGATTCCCAAATACAATTTAATAACATCCCCGCTATGCAAAGAATAGTATATTACATTAATAACTCCTTGACTAATGAACCATAGCAGTCATTTCAATGCCTGACTACCCTTGCATGAGTGTTTGTGTGGTTGGGTCAAATGCATATTTTTTTTTCCTCTGGTGACATTGAACAAACATTTTTACCTTATGTTATCCTCTCCCCCCCAAAACAAAAGGTAGAATATTAAAAGCTTTCTATCAAATAAAAATGTGTTTTTACACTAATAGCTTGATTATAACAGTTTGATTATAAGAAATCCATTATCTGTACTTCAATACTATTTACAACAGTTTGCCGAGACTTGGTACTATACATATTGATTTTTTTTGTTGTCTCTTTTTTCTGTGTGTGAACTGTATGTGCCAACAAGTATAATAATTCTTATGTTTATGTAAAGTTTTTATTCAATCTTCAGTAGAATGATACATGTCTTTGTCCTGGAGTGTTTGCCATTGGTTGCCAAGTGTTAATGTAGCAACTTAATTTTTCCAAAATTTCTCTGTAAAGTTAGTATACTAATTTACAGTTTCTTTATTGTACACTCAGGATTTTCAACTTAAGCTGTTTTGTTAAAGTTCTTACTTGTAAAAGTTTTATACTGTAGGTGAAATGTTAATCATTAAAAAATACAATCCTCCTGTTTTTAAGTCTTTTTTTTTTTTATTTTTAACTGGAGCGTATAATCAAGCATGCAGCCAAGATTTTTTTAAGGAGGGAGCTCACTTTCAAACTGATATAGTTTCTAAATGATATAGTTGATGTCTTCCATGTACATTATAATGGTTCTGACAAATAACAAAAAAATAATGTATTTCTCATTCTTATATTTTAATTTAGATTAGAGCTGGGTGAGTAACTAAATTACTTTTCCTTGTATATAGTTTATGGGAAATGAGATGGCTCAAGCCCCCCCCAGGCCATCCCCTTTCATTGCACCCATATATATAATTGTATTCATTTCTTCTCTTAGTATTTGTAGATTGTTTTTTCTTGCATTCTGAAAAAAAAAATATATATATTTAACAGTCTATTTGGAATGTAAAGACTGCATTGTAAAGTGCTGAATATTTTCATTATGAATACATATATTATTTACTTTTTCTTTTTGGCATGATACTAGCTTAAGGATATTGCTTGTCACATTAATTTTCTTTTTCATGCTTTTTTTCTTTTAAGGTAGGTGAAAGCCCTGGTGGTGATGGCAGAAGATAAAGGAGAACAAGGAAACCAAAAACCTTATACTCCAAGTGGTGGAAGTGGGATTCAAGAGAATGGCCCTGCCGACTCTAATACAGCCTCTATAAGAATGTCGCCAACAAAAAGTAGAAACACAGTCATTGCCAGAGTGAGGCTTTTAGATGGATCAGATGTGGAGTACCAGCTGGATGTAAGTACATTGCCCAACTTTTGTTAGAACTTGAACTTTTGTTGTTTAGATTTAACTAAACAACATTTCCAATGATGCTTTTATGTGCGGATATCACAGTGCAACTGAAATATTTTCAATATCTTATTAATAACTGGTCCACTTGAAATAGTAAGAAAGAATAATGTACGAAATTCAGTGATCCTCTTTTAGTTATATTCCATACATTAGATCGCAAAGCCAGTGGAGCAGAATAAGTGAGAGCAATTTTTTATGAGAATTCTGTACTTTCCATATTATTCTGTTCTTTTTATTGTAGTAATGGCTTCTGCTTTCCTTAGTTTAAAATACATCTAATTGTGGTTTTAAGTTACTTTGTCTTGACCCATTAATGAGTAATATTTTGAAAAGTAAAAGTGAATTCATTTGGGGTGTGAGGTAATAAAAAGACCAGATATTTTAAATCAGAGGTTCCTCAAACAGGGGCCCTTGAAATGTTCTATTAAACTTCTCTGACACTGGATAGTGCAATATTTTCACCAAAAATGTTATTCATTGCAATAGATATATTAGTACACAATATTTTCTATGCTTGAGATTTTTTTCAGAGATCAAATTGTAATGAAAGTAAGGTACCTCATTTATTATTTATAAAATGGTTATTATTTAAAACTTTTATTAAATCATTAGGTGGTGGTCCTCAGTCAAGGTCTTGAAGGTCCTCAAGCTGAAAAGTTTGGGAACTCGTATTTTATAGTACAGTGAAGTTACTATATTCAAAAGTAAATAATATCTATACCTGTTTTTTTTAAGTGATTTGCACATTATATCTGTTTAGGAATATGTAAGGAGAGTTTCATGGTTCATTCATTACTGGAAGCTATTATTGTGGCTCAAAAAATTTCGTTAAGTAGGATAGATTATTGACTGTAAGGTGGTTACTAAAATTTCGAAAGTTAGGTTTATTGCAGTAACCACTCAAAGTAACATCAGTGAAATGTAATATGTTCTTCATTCACCTCCCCTCATTTTTTGTTTTTCATTACTGTACGTAGTTAA